CAATATTAGTTACTTTTGATCTTAATGTTACTTTAGTTTAGCTTCCCCGAAATAAATACATGAATGTGTGTGAGTGAGTGAGTGAGCGAGCGCCCGAGTGAATAATAAATAATTAAATAATTAAATGAATGAATGAATGAATATAAATAAATAAATAGTAAAATAAATAAATAAATAAATAAAAAAAATAAAAAATATAAATAAATAAATAAATAAATGAATAAATAAATAAATAAATAAATAAATAAATAAATAAATAAATAAATAAATAAATAAATAAATAAATAAATAAATAAATAAATAAATAAATAAATAAATAAATAAATAAATAAATAAATAAATAAATAAATAAATAAATAAATAAATAAATAAATAAATAAACCATGCAGCACCAGTGGTCATGTTTGAAAATAGGCCTAGCCTCGGAATCCAGGGTTAAAAGTGACCCTCACTCAACTGCTGATGAGACGTCTGTTCCTATAGCATCACTCTCATCATCTGGAACATTCTGTAAAATGTTTGGTTACACTTTGGTGGATTATTCCGGCAGTCCCATTAACCTTCACACTATTCTTAACTCACAGTCTGAAACCAGTATCGTAAATATCGCTTCCTTCTACACGACCACGTTAATATGGTTTTAGTCAAATCGAATTTTCAAGTTTCAATTTTCACTTTCTTTTGTCCGACAGTATATTTCATCGGAAGACTCGCAGTATCCAGGGTCCTTATTCTCGAAACGTTAGAAGACCTAAGAATTCTTAACTTTGATCGTAGCCAATGTGTTAAGAATGGGCTTAAGACGTTCGTAGGGCTACGAACGTTTCGAGAATAGCTAGCCAGGTATCCAAGGACAAACTATGGGCAGAAGTGGCCTGTATTTCCCCCTGTTCAATAGCAAATACTTTCCAGGTGTATTTCCCTAATGCTGACGGGGTTGTATGTGCAACCGCGACACACTTGTCATCATGGCGGCGTCTGTACACCATTCACCGACTTCGCACACGACGGCAATAGCAGTGACTTTCAAGTGTGCTATTCAAACACAGTCTGCACAATACCCATCTTGTACCAGATGAAATACAAAGTAGAATTTAGTTCCTCGCTCTAGATAGCCCTGTTCGGGCATGTACACTGGCGTCAGTCTCAACGGTACACTCGTCTCAACTCTGGACGGTCAACATGTCAACGTGTTAAGGTGTTTACACTCTTAACAGCTTTTATTCACGTTATCCATAACATGTGTCACGTATTCATGTTCCCCCAACTTCTAAATGCCAGTCAAAGACCTCTGCATATTAGTTCTGGAGTGTCTCCGGTTGGTATGGGAGCGTATTGGTGCCACAGTCTAAAACATGCCAAGATAATAGGTATATCAACGTAGAATATACACACTTGAATTCACCTGTATTATTATAATCTATTCTATGTACCATATGGTATCGAATTACCGTTGTTGGAGAAATATTTGTCCTTATCAGTAAAAGATATGGACAGAGGATGTCGCCCTGCTGTGGACCATATTGCCTCCCGCTATCAGCAACACTTCCCAATCTGTTTTATGCAACCTCTGGCTTGTTGAACACCGCACCTGGCACTGTTCCAGCTTTATAACGATCTGGCCCCGATTTCTCGAAACAAACTTAGGTCTGAGTTTTGACTTAAGTTAGAGTTTTTACTCAAATTTGAGAAAACGCATTTCCCAGAATGAACTGAAATCGATATCAAACTCAAACATAGTAAACAATTTGAGTTTGGTGGATAGATTGTTTGGGCTTTTTTATTTCAAAAATTGCACTTGAGTTAAATATTCAGCTGTTTCAAATTGTCAAACTCAGTTTGAAATTTGAGTAAAAACTTAAGTTTGTTTCGAGAAATTGGGGCCTGGTCTAATTAATAATGACCGATTTGCTGACTTTCAAACCCAGTGTGTCGTTATTGGTACTATCAAAACATTCAATATAGTTACCCTTCCTTTAAACGTGTCAAAGTTTTGGATAATGAGTTTTTGTTTCATTTTAATATTTTGAAATGATTACAGTTGTGAAAACATAACACAAAGTGAAAATATACGACAAACATGACAAACGTAAATTCTATGAAGTATATACAATGTTTTCTATAGCGAGGGTTGCAGCTTCACAACACGATACAATGCATTACAGACGATTACAAAATCATTTATTATGACGAAATTATCTTCTACATCGATGAAAGGGCCGAACATCTGATATTCTTAACCCAAAGGATTCTTCGCTGCTGAAGATGGACATCCTGATATTTTGGTAATGGTGAAATCTGTTTTTATAAAATGAAAGTAGTGACTGAATATATTCACTGAGCTACAGTTTACTACATTGCTATCGCCATTATATTTCCATATGCAAGACGCAATAACTGTCCGAAATGTAGCATTCCTGGTCAACATCCTGGTATACAACGCCTGGCTATTATGCACAAAAGACACTTATGGGACGTTTTTCCCAAATATAATTATATTTTTCTATTATGAGAGGAGTGATGGAGATCCGTGTATATTTTATATACGTATTTGCAATATCGTCACTCTCAAAGGCTTCAGAAGGGGTGCTTGGCAAATATTTGACGGCCTCGATGATATCAGACCAATAGACCCCCAGTGGTGTTCACAGAGAGAACTTGATCAAATAAATCCGGCTTTTGTTAGAAATTCTTTTCATAAATTACCTCATCTGTGCATACATGCTTACAAATTGGACTGTGTATATAAGAGAACTCAGATTGCGCTGCTCAGCTGCGCTCTTGCCGTTGTTGGCGATATTCGTGTCCTTAACAGCAAACCATAAGGATAGAGTATGTCGCCTTGCAGGTAAGTGGAACTGTTGCTTTTTCGTGTTAGTTAAACATACTTTTCTGATTACATTAGACTATTTACACGAATATTTACTTTATACATCTTTTTAGACTGAATTCTCATACTTTATGAGCTGATGATGAGCCTTACCAGCTTGACTGTGCCAGGATCACCCGAACCCTCTCTGCTGCATATTATCTTTAATCTGTAAAACATAATAATGAGGGCATTTATAACACGCCTTTTCCAGGCTATATATCCTGCTCAAAGCGCTCAATCTGATCATCACCCCAGATAACCCAAGCTGCCTGTTAGAGAAGGTTAATAGTCTCACGACTTATTTCACCGGGTACCCCTTTTTCTTCTGGGTGAACAGTGGCAATTTTGAACAAACACACTTGCCTAAGGTGAAACCACATCTATGACATGTGTATTCTTGTGGGGTATGACTGAAGTTCTAGGAACTCTCAGGAATCAAGCTGTCACATACGTCACCCATCCAAGATTCTCCGCTCCCAGCGTTGCTCAACTTCAACTGATTGTGACCTGAGCTCGAGGCCACTAATTAATTTATCAATATATTTATCAATATCCCCAATGATTTGGTTGTTTTTATGTTATAGCTTCACTATGTAAGCTAAAATAGACATATATTGGACAGTGATGAATTAAATATATCTGCGTGGTATTTCATGCTTTCACAACATAGCTGTTTTTCTCACGAATGTATTTTCGTGAGGACTTCATTCATCTGTATAAACTATATGGTATACATTTGTTGACTTGAAATCGTTTTGGAACAAAGAAGGTTCGAGATAACAAGGACACGGAAAGTATACCTATCCAAAACTGAAAAGCCTCGCAAGATTTTACGGTGTTAATTCAAACGTGTGCAAATGTCATTTAATTTGATTGATAAGGATGAATGTTAGCATGATGATCGTTAAGGTGTTCTGTAGACAAAATGAAAATACCCGCTTACGTTGACGGGGTGTGGAGGGGTGTGACATCCTGGCGTTCCGATCAGTACGTGGTGTGACTGTTGTGTCCTGGCCTGGACACCTGTTTGTTTTTTTGTTTGTTTGTTTGATTGATTGTTCGCATTTGAAGTGAGTGAATTTAGTTTTACGCCGCACTCTCAATAATCCAGCTATATGGCGACAGTTTGTAAATAATCGAGTCTGAACCAGACAATCCAATGATCAACAATATGTGCATCGATCTACGCAATTCGGATACCATAACATGTGTAAATGTAGTCAGCGAGTCTGACCATCCGATCCTGTTAGTCGCATCTTACGATAAGAGTTGTTAAAGACCAATTCTTCACGGATCCTTGACTCCTTTGGTGCAGACTGAATAAGTCTGCCGATTGCATGGTATTTACCTTCATTAACCCTGCAACGCGTACGCCAGTTGTGTAAGAGACTGTGGCGTATGTTGACGTTGACGTTGACGTTGAGATGAACGTCTATCGAGTTTATTCCACTGGGCGCTATCGGATTGAGATCCGTAGCTCTGGGAAATATTGGCAGAGCATTGACACTATGTGGTGAAGTGTTGTCGCCATGAAACAGCTCCACCTGTTGGTTGATAACCGACAGAAGATGATGATGATGCAAACTTTGGTCGATGGTTGACTTGCTGTCAAATTCCCAAGAACCACCTAGTTCACCATTGAAACAGACTCGCTGTTTCTCAGAGCCCATGCCTGTATGGGGTTGCTCTTTCGAAAACGTTGTCGGAGATTCAAACGTCTTAACGCTCCGACCTCTCGCAGACAATTCCTTTTTTGTTTGGTCCGATACTCACACCAGACGCTCGTCCTGCAGTCTCAGTTGCAGCAGAAGAACACGTAGAATAAAGACCCGGATGTAGCGGCCTTGCGCATGGGTGGTAACTCTTGGTCTACCCCGCTTGGACGGACCCGAGAAGATCCGGGCTAGAAGTGTAGAATAAAAGACGACTCCGAGGTTTTGGTTGAGAATGTAAAACCTCAGTGGACGCGCCCGAGGGATAACGCGCCCGAGGGATTTCCTGACACTGAGGTTTTACATTCTCAACCAAAACCGAGGAGGAGTCTTTTTATCAAACTTATAAACCGTCTAAGACAACAAAAATTACATATGTATTATTTTCAATTTGTGCATGTACTGAGTAGAACAACATTGATGGAACAGCCCGCAGATGATGGAACAGCCGGTGTCAACTGGGATGCGACTGGCAGCCAACACTTTGCCCCGCACGCGCAATGCTCGTGCCCTGCACGCGCTACCCGTGTCCTGCACGTGCGCTGCCCGCAGTACCTGTCTTGTGAGAAACACATGGTTCATACTGACAAACAATCTCATTCCTCACAGCGATCCTTCGTTGCGTAGTGGATAAAACCGTCAAGCTAGAGAGCGATGAGTTGCGGGTTGGAAACCAGTTATCGCCACTAAATATTGGAAGTTTTCAATAATGATATATTTTACGATCAGTCATAGCAAGACAAAGTTATAATGGTCATTTCGAAACCTCAAATCAGGGTATGAGGTTTTACAACGACCACTGTAAAACTTCGTACCTCGTATGAGGTTTTACAATGGTCATTGTAAAACCTCCTGCAATCGTAAAACCTCTACCGAGGTTATTCCATAATGCGAAGCAACTGCAAGAACAATAGACAACATTGGCCATAGGTTTATAACTAATCTTCTGCAACTCATGCTTGGCGACTAAGGGGATCGGGTGGTCAGACTTGGTTGACACATGTCATCGTGTTCCGATTGCGTAGATCGATGTTCAAGCTGGTAATCATTATCTGGTCAAAACTCGATTACTTACAGACCGCCGCCATATAACTGGGGCGCGGTGGGCGAGCTGGCTAAGACGCCAGGCTAGTGATCCAGCGAGGTTGAGGTGCCGGGATCGAGCCCACCTGTGACCGGGTGTAAAAACCTTGGAGTCAACTTTCTGTGCAGACTCTTTCAGTGTTGTCACAACCCCTAGTGTACAGTACACATCCCTGTGCACTTAAAAGAACCCACGAATCCGTTGGTATATGACCAGATGGTGGCCACATGAATACGTGCAAACACCTAGTTGCGGGTACAGCAACGTGCAGTGAACTTGGACAAAGTACTGTGACTATGTGTCCCAGTCCACCCAGCTGTGAATGGGTACCTCGTTAGGATGAGATAGCCACAATAACTCGGTGCGCCTAGTGGCTGCAAGAGTTGTATACTCCCCAGGGAGTTGAGATTGATAATACGATGTGCCGTTGAGATTGACATCCAATGATCGAGGGGAAAATACCAGCGCCTTGAGCATGCACTAGTTGCCTGGATATGTGCGCTATATAAATATCGTATAATAATAATAACTGGAATATTGCTGATAGTAGTGTTCTTCATAAATGTCATTTTCAATCTTGATGTGTGAGGTCGGGTGTTGTCGTGTTGAAAAAATACGTTACTTGTCTCATAATGGACAGGACGTGTGCCCGAAAAATGACGTTTTGTCATTAAATTGCCCGTGTGGGAGATGGCGGCCCACATCATTACACTTTCTCATCACTTCCTGTATGCAGTTTCGAGCATAACGTTCCCCGAGACGTCTGTAAACTCGGCGTCCCTTCCGCCTATGGGGGAAGAAAATAATGTGGCTCTACACTTTAAACCAAACATCGGTATTGTAGCCATATTCTGTGTCCTTGACTCGGGCGAATACCTGCGGCACGTAGACGGTACATCACTGTCTGGGCTGAAATCCTACGCAATCCTGGTACTGGTTTGTTGGTTTGTTGTTTAACGCCAGACAATCCTGTGATCAACAGCATGAGCATCAATCTACGCAATTGGGGATGACATCACGGCGGGGAACACCAGAAAAGGGAATTCGGGATTTCTGGGGTTGAAATACGATATGTCAACCCACTCAGCGAGCCTAACCACGCGATCCCGTTAGTCGCCTCTTACGACAAGCATGGGTTGCTGAAGATTAATTCTAACCCGGATCTTCACGGGTCTGTAGCTGTAGAGATGCCCGTGGTGAGTTTATCACGTTAGTGACGAGCCCGTATAAACCTGTACTAGGCGACCGGATATGGGGCGACCGGATATGGGAAGGTCACGTGTTGTCCCGTGCATCTGACAACGGTTCCATAGTCTTGTAATGGTGCCTTGAGACACGTGGAAAATCCTGTCTGCAGTCAAAGCCGAGTCGCCTGTCTGCAGTCGTCCGATGACGTTGTCGCGTTGAGCTTCTGTCAGTCGTGGCATTTGTTATCGTTTCACTTGCTGTACAATTTTGATGACAGACAGATGAAAACCCATCGTTTTCGAAGCCCAACAATTCATGTTGCACGCCCATCCCATGTCGGTGTGTTTGGCCGCCATGCGTTGGGCGTTACGCACACGTTTTCGTTATGTTTTGAATCACCCCCGATGCATCCAGGCATGAGAAATTCATATTTGGTATTCATTCTGTATGAATATCAGCAAAGTTCAGATATTTCCAATTTTTCTGCTTTTTCGTTTCTCATTTAGGCGTAGTTTATTTATGAGAGTGTGTGTAGTTTAACGCTACTAATAGCAATATTAGCACATGGGCACAATGTGTGAAGCCCATTTCTGGTGTCCCCCGCCATGCTATTGCTGGAATATTGCTAAAAGCGGCGTAAGACTAAACTCACTCACTCACTGTAGCAATATTCCAGCAACATTTCTCCGGGGGACATCAGGGTTGGGTTTTAAACGTGGGGAATCGAACCCGGCTAGACGAGCAAAGGTTTTAATCAGTAAGCTACTTTGCTGCTCCGTAATGCATTTATAGTCTGTTTGCAATGAAAACGTACCTATGAATTTCACCTTAAACAAAAAAGTAAATGAAAGTGAAAATAATTATGCGAATCTTCATAACTTTACCTCGCCTATTGAACATTAAAATTTCAGAATTTTATTGAACTTAGGATAAAAGTTGTTTAACAAACGATCATAGTTTCAAATCGCTATTATTGGTTTGTATTACAAGGGGGTATGCACATTAAAGGAAACCCCGAGAACAAGAAAGGTTGGTTTCTACGGTAGTCTATTTTAACACTTATCACGCACCGCATGCATTTGTTTCACTGTTCCAACTACTGCGGTTCCCAATTGCGCAGATCGATGTTCATGCTGTTGATCACTGGATGGTCTGGTCCAGACTCGATTATTTACAGACCGCCGCCATATAGCTTGAATATTGCTGAGTGCGGCGTAAAACTCAACTCACTCACTCTGGTGTCAGTGTTGGAATATTGCTAAAAGCGGCGTAAAACCAAACTCACTCACTCACTCACTCTTTCAGATTGAACCCGTCTGTTGTGCGTTCCGTTGTCGTGTGCACGTGGCTCGTGCTGGCGTGGACTGTGGTGACTGAGGTGGACGGCCATGGCTACATGCTAGTACCCCCTGGACGGTCAACAGCCTGGAGAATTAGCCTGGTGAACTTCCACGTCAACTACAACGACAACGCAAACTACTGCGGTGGCCGAGCTGTAAGTGATACTTTGAAACTGAGACCAATTGTTATGGGATTCAAAATGTATTTAAAATCCCGAGAAAGTTCTCACAAAATGGCGATCCAAAATGGCGGATACCCGTTAATCGCGCCAAATTCAAACCAAACTCACTCACTCATGGATATTATTTTAGAGGTAACAGTTTAAACAACATAAGAGAGTACAAAGCATCTGTGTTTTGTTTGGCAATGAAACCAGAACATAACGGACGGGTCTTGAGATTCTCTGTGCAAAGTTGCCTCCCTTTGAAGAGCAAGGATCCGTTTATCATGTGAATGAATGTGTCGTTTATTATGCCTGTTTGGGTTTTTCACGCCATATCTGTGTTTTCATCCCCCATCCACTTTTTATTTCCATTTTCAGACACAGCACGACATCAACAACGGCAGCTGCGGTATCTGCGGCGACGACTTCAGGACTCCTGTCCCACGTGATAACGAAAGGGGCGGGTTCTACTCAACTGGGAACATCGTTCAGGAGTACGCCCAAGGTGACGTGATCGAGGTCGCTATCGTCATCACTGCCAACCACAGGGGAAAGTTCTTCTTCGACATCTTCCCCACCAACGACCCCAACCAGCCGGAGCAGGAGGACTTGTTTCAGCCGCTGTACAATGCAGACACCGGGACGACGTACTACGACGTTCCTGACGATGCTGCAAGGACATTCACCGTTAAGCTCAAACTACCAGACAACATGCTGTGTAGCAACTGTGTGCTTCGCTGGAAATACGTTGCTGGTCAGTAAAACCGAGTCATGCAAAGGGAGGGAGGGCATGGGTGGGTGGAATTGTGTATGATAGCATTTGTACCGAGTGCATGTTCGACTCTGAGATTGGTTGTAGTGTCTGAAAAAACTAATATTCCAGCAATATCAGGGCGGTTGACGCCAGAAATGGGCTTCACGGACATTGTACCAACTTGGGGGATCGAACCCGGGTCTTAGGTGTGATGAGCGAACGCTTTAACAACTTGGCCAACCCACCGCCCGCACAAAACGAGAGATTGAATGTTTCTACATGACGTATGCTACAAGTTGTTACTACAAGTCACAGCGTAAAAACCTTTAGAGTCTTTAATTGGTGGGGCGGTGGGGAAGCCTAGTGACTGACTGACTGACTGACTGAGTTTAGTTTTACGCCGCTTTTAGCAATATTCCAGCAATATCACGGAGGGGGACACCAGAAATAGGCTGCACACATTGTGCCCATGTGGGGAATCGAACCCGGGTCTTCGGCGTGACGAGCCAACGCTTTAACCACTAGGCTACCCACCGCCCCGGAAGCCTGGTGGTTAAAGCCTAGTGGTTAAAGCGATTCCCCACATGGGTACAATGTCTGAAGCCCATTCCCCCGCCGTAATATTGATGGAATATTGCTAAAAGCGGTGTAAAACTAAACTCACTCGCCCTGTGGTGGGATCATTTCAAGAGACATTCGTCACCACTCGTCCCTTTCCGTAACCTCCAAGAAGACGCTATTCGGCTTGTCCCGGAATAACTTGAGTTGGTCACGAAGGCAACAATAGGCCATCAGGCAACAACCACGGATTTCCTTTCAGGCAAACTGTGAGTCGCGGGTGTTAAGGGTAATTAAGTGATCTGCTTTACCGGTAACACCCGGTGTCAACTTTACAAACACCTGAAATCTGTTTCGCTCGATCATTTACACTGACGTTTTGTAATATATAGTGTATTTATTACTCGCCCGTGGAGGATATTGCAGTGTAATATTTTTACGGCAAAATTAAATAGTCTATGTCGTTTTCAGACATACATTGAGTGAGTGAGTGAGTTAATATTTAACGTCACATCGGCAATATCTCAGCCATATCGTGACGAAAACAATTTATACAATATAAAGAGAAAACATTTTGAAGATTTAAACCTGTCGACGATGGACAGTAAAAATACTAGAGAATCACAGATATGAATAAAACTAGCGAGCAAAGCTAAAACATTTCAATTAAAGAGGACAATACAGTATAAAACACGGGCTATAGATCGCCAACAACTGAAGGTAGATCACCATACTAGGAAGACATACATTGAATACAAGCTTATCGATTATTTACTGTAACATATAGTCAAAAGTGGATAACATTATGATTTTATATTTAGTACTATTATTTATTATTTATTTATTACTTCTAGCTGTTTGATTTATAATATTAGCTTTATCTAAAGAATCTGTTTCCTAACATCCAAGCAATACATTCTCAGTGTAACTCTATGGTTTAAAATGTTTACAAAAAAATGATTGGTAATAGACCTTGCTTGACTCGCGGAAAGCTGTCCAGTCATGACAATGTAGGCAGTTTCTATAAATTTACGTTGGAGAGTAATGAACAGAATACTAAACTCGCTTCCGTGAAATACCATTTTTATTAAACTCGTGAAAGTTGTAGAATCATACTCGCTTTCGCTCGTTCGATACTAAATCATTAACTCATTTAATACAAATGGTATTACACGGTAGGTCGTTTAATATCCTCTATGTATTTGTTAATTTGATAGTTCACGTATGCCGGTGACGTCATCGTGTGTCTGTCAGTGACGTCATCGTGTGTCTGTCAGTAAGGTCATCGTGTGTGTGTCAGTGACGTTATAGTGTGTCTGTCAGTGGCGTCAACGTGTGCCTGTCAGTGACGTCATCATTTGCTTGTCAGTGACGTCATCGTGTGTCTGTCAGTAATGTCATCGTGAGCTGTAAGTGACGTAATCGTTTGCCTGTCAGTGTCGTCATCGTGTCTGTTAGTGACGTCACCATACGTCTGTCAGTGACGTCACAATTTGCCTGCCAGTGACGTCATCGTGTTGTTGTTGCAGGTAACAGCTGGGGCTGCAACAGCCCGGACGATTGCTGTTTGGGCTGTGGCAATCAACAGGAACAGTTCTACTCATGCGCTGACGTCATGGTCACAGAAGATGGAACAACGGGTATACCACCATGGGTTGAACTGAATAAAAACTCATCATCTGCCACTGAAGCAACTTCTTCATCAACCATTCCTACAACCACGACCCTTAAACCCACAACCACTACCCCTAAACCAACTACCTCTAAACCAAACACTACCGCTAAACCTACAACCACCACCACTACCATTGCCCCGAAACCTACAGTTGCCACGCCTAAACCTACAACCACTACCCGTAGACCGACAACCACTACTCTTAAACCCACAACTATTACACGGACACCAACAACCACTACCCGCAGGCCAACAACCACGACTACTACAACAACGACTACCAGCACGGCGGCTAATCCTCAGCGATTGACGACAAAGCTACCACTGTCTTGTTCAGCTTACTGTTTCGCTGTCTGTAAACCAAATCGTGTATCCATATTCTGCTACAAACAGCTTTGTGAAAAGTGCCCGGCGTATAAAAACATATTGAATAAATGATATACATGCTTTATTGCTTTGTTCCGTTTTTAATGTTTAAAATCAAATGCAGTGAAATGTCCAACTCATTCGTAAAAATATTTCGTTTAGAACGACAGAATTTCAATATCCAGGAATAATAATAATAATATAATGATGTCCCTTTTGACAGCACATTGGCAAGATTCAGGAAAAGCATGATAAGTATGCGGACCTCGCCTTTGAAATGTCTCGCTTGCATCCCAAGTACACTGTCGTCAGGCTCCCCATTGTTCTCGGTGCCTTTGGTTTTGGTATCTCCTGGTCTCTTGGCGCAGATCAGGAGAGTGCTCGGGTTCTCCACCGAGACCACAGCCCTTCTGACACTCTGGGTAATGCAGAGGGCTGCAGTGACGGGGAGTCTACATATTCTCCGGAAAGTTATTGGTGGGTTCGACTAGGCAGCATTTCCAGGGAGAAGTCCCATTTGCTGTCTGGGCTGCGTGTAGAGGGGGCGAGGGCCCTGAGCTAATGATGAGCCTTACCAGCCTGACTGTGCCAGGATCACCTGAACCCTCTCTGCTGCACTTTAAATCATAATCTCAAAAGCATAATATATTTATATAGCGCCGGACTTTCCACTAAGTTGCTCAGCGACGCCGTGGGAGGTCTATGGGAGTTCTGATGAAGAGTGAGTGAGTGAGTATTGTTTTACGCCGCATTTAGTAATATTCCATCAATATCACGGCTGGGGACACCAGAAATAGGCTTCATACATTACACCCATGTGGGGAATCGAACCGGGGTCTTCGGCGTGACGAGCGAACGCTGTACCTACTTGGCCACCCAGCCGCCCCTTCTGATAAAGAGGTAATGTGTTCCACTAAGTGGGAGAAATGACTGAGAAAGATCTTTCACCCAATTTTTGTTTTGGTGTCTGGTAGAATCAAGTACATTGATCGGTAGATCGGCTTGTGATTTGACAGTAGAGATTGAAGGCACTGTGGGTACGGAGGAACGTGAATGTCGTTGAGGTTGCTGCTGTGCAGCTCGGACTGTATCCGTTGTTTGACTGGCAGCCAATGGAGACACTGGAGTACTAGTGCCGCGCAATATAACCGGTTTACCGGTATTTACCGGTTCAGACATGAAAACGATACGTATTGCGCTGATCGAAAACCGGTATTTTGACATGCATTCGGAAAACACTCAGAAATCTTCGGATATTCCCGTTTTTTATGATGTTCCTTTCCTTTTTTTATTTGTGCCAAATATTATTTACATTTGTTTTTTGTCATGATTAAAAGTTTTTATTAAATCTTAATCAAGCAAAGTGATTTTGTTGTGATTTTGCTTTATAAATCAGGCATTAACTCGATTATACGTATTTTTTTGTTGAAAAACAATTCCTTGCAATTTATTGCAATACATATCGCAATATACGCTTTTGCATCGCAATATATCGCAATATGAAAATTCTCTGCAATACCCACCCCTATGGAGTACCGATGTGGTGTGTTCTGTTGGTTGGGCTCTTGTAATGATAAAGATTGCTCCCAGATTGCGTGCTTGATTGAAAGGTTGAACAATGGCTTCACCAACCTCCAATGATACGTGAGGAAATTTGAGAAGCCGTTGACGAGCTCCTAGGATCATGAACTCTCGTCTGCTCGTCATTCATCTTCGAAAAAAGTTGGGGGCATGGTGGGGGAGCTGTCTCAGGCGCCGCGCTAGTAAGCGAAAGGTGCCTGGATCGATCCCCACTTGTGACCGGGTGTAAAAACCTTGGAGCTAACATTACTTGCAGGCTCTTTCAGTGTTGTCACTACCCCAAGTGTGCAGTACACAACCCTGTGCACTTAAAAGAACCCACTCATCCGATGGTAAGCGACCAGATGGTGGACACACGAACACGTGCTGACACGTAGTTGCGGGAATTAACGTGCAGTATCACTGGACAAAATACTCTGACTATGTATCCCAGTTCACCCAGCTGCAAATGGGAATCTTGTGAGGATGAGGCTGTGTGATAACTCTCTGTGCCTTACAGATAACTCTCAAAATGGACAGTATTTTGATTGACTTATAAAGTGTTCACTGATTTAGGTTGTCACGCCATATCTGTTTATGGATATCAATACATCTTTGTTTAAAAGTTTGAAGGATTAACTGGGTATTTATAGTGTCATGATTGATCCATACTGATCCGAAGCCATAAGAAAAAAGTAACATCTTTACATTCAATGCCCAACACTCAATGTCTCTATTTGCAAGGCCCTTTTCATACAAATAAACATGATGTTTATGTTCTGGTTTAGCGTCCAAGCTCGCCCCGTCCAACTAAATTTGGAGTTGACCTGTACAAATGCAAAATGGTTTTATAAAACCTATCGCCAAGATTTGTAATATCATGGGGTACATGGAAGCCCCAAACTTCATTCCCATGAGTCATTATTGGCATAACCTTCACATCAAATATGTTGAGTTGAATAAGAAGAGGCAGTTTGTGAAAGTATTCGATATTAGATTTGATACATTGCAGGGCTTTATTACCTTGGTAAGCAAGTGTTTTTTGGTCTTATACCATGATCCACAGCTTGATAAGTGAACATCAAGGTATTTATAAGAAGATTCTATTTCTAGGGTTTCCCTTTTGAAATAGAATTTTTCTTATTTCCTTAGACGCCCCCCATTCCTAAAACAATAATTTTACTTTTTTCACTGTTGACTAACAACTGCCATTTGTCACAGTATATACTTAGTTTGTTTAGCCTTTTTGGAGACCTTATACTGTGCTATCAAGAATAGAAATATCGTCTGCAAATAGCAAGATAAACAATTGCACCAGGCCAATAGATACTGACCACTGATTACCTTCCCCTAAGAATTGTACCATGTCGTTTATGAAGAAAGAAAACAGGAATGGTGAGAGCTGGCAGCCCTGACGGACACCGAAAGCACAGTCGAAGAATTCAGTATAGCCTTCCTGGAGAGATACACATGCTTTTTACGTTTTTATACATATTCAACAGAAACTATGGTCTGGGGGTCTAGATTTGCTTTAAGTATCAAAGCTTATTGCAAGCATGGATCCTAGGTTTCAGTATGTCACTGCATCTTGTGAATCCCATACCTGTTATTGACAGGTGTTGTGCACTTGCCAATGACTCGTTCCATTATTTGCAAAATGGTTGGTGCCATGAAAACCATTCTTATGGTTACTCATGTATCAAGTGCATAAGGTTAGAGTGCTTCTATCAATATTATACTCAAGCTTTGGTGGATCTATACATGAAGAACTTAGTTAAGCACCCCTGACATATCTCTTCACACGATGAATGGCGTATACAGAGGATCAGGAAGGTGACAGGGGGTATGAGGAGGAGGGTGCTGGCTGTCATACAGTCACATGGAGATTACACTCGGTATTGACCTTGAATCGTGTAGGACACGCAAAATGACAATTTGAATGTTCATATTTTCCCAATAAATTCAACATTAAACATTCCAGGGCAATACTTGTACGGATACAGTTTTGTATGAGGGTCAGTCAAATGAGTAGTTGTCATCATAAAATGAAGATTACAATCTCTTTGTCGATTTTCATGAGTCAAAGGATCATACGGGTCAGAAAAACTCATGTTTTTCCATCGCGGTCACCACGAGAAGTTTTATTTAGGTGTTGAAAACCTATCATTGCAAAAATACAAGGGGTGCTTAATTAAATTCTTTGTGTATATGTTGAGCAAGGACAACTGGTTACATGTGAAGAACATTTATATGCTGATACAATAAAGTGTTCCCTGTGAAGCATGCACTTTACAGAGGCCAAGGACTGTCGTCAGTCGGGACAATTTACGCGTCTGCATGACAGACATTATCGCCCTCAGGAATATGCCAGGGCCTAGATTTTCGAAGCTCTTAGCGCTAAGATAGTCGTCAGTTAATGTTAATGCCCTAGCGCTAAGAGAGCTTCGAAAATCTAGGCCCAGCTATATGGCGGCGATCTGTAAATATCCGAATCTGTACCAGACAACCCAGTGATCATCACCATGAGCATCGATCTACGCAACTGGGATACGATGACATGTGTTCACCAAGTCAGCGAATAGGACCATCCCGTTAGTCGCCTCTCACGACAAGCATAGGTTCTTGAAGGCCTCCATTACCACAGGTTGTTCTTACCATTCCACTCATGGGAATCAGAAATGTACAATTGTTCACTGGAGCTAATGTTACGGTCACTATGGTAACCACATACCGTGCATCGTTGCTCGTGCTATCAACCACTAGCTTGCCAGGTTCAATTTCTGGGTCACAGTAATCATTTTCTACACAGTGAGTGAGTGAGTTTAGTTTACGCCGCTGTTAGCAATATTCCAGCAATATCACGGCGGGGGACACCAGAAATGGGTTTCCCGCCATTTTCAATGTGACAGGCAATACATGATTCCAATTCTTACAGAATCACTGACATTTGGATATAATCATTTTATTGCATAAAATGACACATATAATTGACATACAACTTTAATGAATTGCGAAAACATACATATTGCATAAAATCCCATTAAAATTCGTCTTCAATACTTCACTGGATTACATTCACTTCGTTTCATCGTCACCCGTGAAGGCTTTACGGTTCGTATCTGTCTTCAGTGACCTCACGAGTCCCTGCATGAACATTGTGCGAAGCCTACCCTTGCCTTCAATTGAAAGATGTGTGGAGTTTGACGGCAGTGAGGCTTTTTCACGTGTTGCACGAGAAAAATTGCTTATGTAATCTGGGCTTTGATTGGCCTCTCGCTGGGACCAGATAGAGGCTTCAAACGTATTTTTGGCACCACTTCCGGTTCTGAGCTGGTTCCCGGCTCCCTTGGAGCGCGCCAACTTGCGATATGCGAGACGGGGCCCAGCTTACTCCCGGTACAAGATTTCCGGTGGCAAGCGTATATTCAAGAGCCAGTTCTGGTTTCAAATTGCGCAACCAGCAAATATGACTTTACTGGACTGGAGTGTACGTCCATTCTTGGCTGTCACAGTTGGCTAATTTGGGGACGGTTAGATCGAACATGTGTTATTCCTGTAGGGATTATCAGTTCCTTACTGTCAACTGACAACCATGAGACCATTCGGAAAGGTATGACACGTTGTTTGTCACCGGAAGTACTAAAGTCTCGCTAGGTGCCGTGACCTACTTTTACCGACCCTATATGCGGCAACTGGACAGTGTCCGAATGTGTTCACGGGTAAAGAAGGAAGGGAGTATTCACAACCCAGTGAAGTATTAAAGGTGATTAAAATCATGCCTTATATTTCGATACGATATTATCTCTGTAAAACTCATATCCTCTCCCGCTAAACTCACAACGAACATATATCGCGGAATCATAATGAAATACATTGTATGAGATTTTAGTTTTTATCCAATCAGACATCTAATAGCAACGGATGTTGAACGGATTTTCCAGGACAACGATCTTCTGGGCAGTTTTGCTGGAGGCAAGCGGTAAAGACTATAGACACTTCACTGAAAACATCACCGAATTAACTGTGAAAATATAAATTTACCTCAGTACGGTCATTGTTATTGTTCATTCGGAACTGCCTGTTTACGTTCCTTTTATACATAGAGAAGTCGGATATACTGCCTGGAATTATTCGCTCCTCCGTTTCGAGAATTACGAAGTCTAGGCAGTTCATAGACGTGGTCTGCTCCAGAAAACTTACCAGACGTTGACTGACAGGTAATAGGTCTGATTGTAATGCATTCGTGACCCACTCGTGTTATTCCGGGAGAATCCGAGGTTATGGAAAGGTGCGAGTGGTGACGAATGATTGTAATGAGATGCTTTCATATTGTCATCCAATGGTGACACATATAGCTGGGCATCGTTCGTCACCTGAAACACCCGCAACACAAACTCTTTTTCTGTCTGACACACTTTTCCCTGTCTTTGGGTACAATTTTGTCTTTCTTGGTCGCAGTCTTTCTCGGTTTGATCTGGCCACGTGACTCCTCGGTTGTTTCCGTGTCGTCATAGCAACGTATCATGTAGGGGTGGTAGGATTTCATCTGTAATGAAAACAAACAAACATCGCTTTGAACTGTATACATGTATAAGGGCGCATTGAATTGCCGTGGGCGGAAATCTCACTTTTAAAGAAGCTCACTCACGCACGCACTATCAGGCACTTTCATACACTTTCACTCACTCATCCATCTCACCGACTCACTCACTCCACGTGATCTTACTCGTTAACCCATCTCACTCACTCACTCACCCATCAACTCACTCAATTGATCACTGGATTGTCTGGTCCAGACTTGATTATTTACAGACCGCCATATAGCTGGAACATTGCTGAGTGCGGCGTAAAAGTAAACTCACTCGCTCTACGTGATCTCACTCGCTAACCCATCTCACTCACTCACCCACCCACCCATCTCACTCACCCACTCACCCATCTCACTAACTCACTCACTCACCAACTTTGGGTTATGTATGTCAGTGACGTGGAATGCCAGACGCTGGAATGAGGGGAAGACGTTGGTTCCTGTCTTGGCGCTGGTCTCGAAGAACTCAAACGCCATTTCTTTCTCAGCCAACTGAAACACCAGACAAACGTTTATGTTCATTATCAGGTAGAAACTTCAGGGGGCGGTGGGGTAGCCTAGTGGTTAAAGCGTTCGCTCGTCACGCCAAATATCCGGGTTCTATTCCCCACACGGGTACAATGTGTGAAGCCCATTTCTGGTGTCCCCCGCCGTGATATTGCTGGAATATTGCTGAAAGCGGCGTAAAACCACACTCACTCACTGGTAGAAACTTCAAAAGTCACTGACAGAGGAGCAATAGCTTCAGAGCACGGGGTGGGATAGTAAATGCTGTCAACCCGTGAAGACCCTGGTTAGAATTAATCTTCAGTGACCTTTTCTTGTTGTAAAAGGGGACTGACGGGATCGGGTGGGTAGACTAACGTGATCGGGTGGGTAGACTAACGTGATCGGGTGGGTAGACTAACGTGATCGGGTGGGTAGACTAACGGGATCGGGTTGGTAGACCAGCGGGATCGGTAGTCAGGCTCACTGATTTGCATCATGACATCAGAGTGAGTGAGTGAGTGAGCTCCTCGCCGCTTTTAGCAATATTCCAGTAATTATCCATTATAAAGAAATAAAAAAAATAAAATAAAATAAAATAAAATATTCCAGTAATATCACGGCAAGGACACAAGAAATGGGCTTCACACAATGTACCCAGTTAGGGAATCGAACCCGGGTCTTCGGCGTGACGAGTGAGCGCTTTAACCACTAGACTACCCCACCGCCCTCGTGACATCAGACAGTGCTAGGTGTGTAAACACAATAGAAACTGTGCTGACAAATAAACAAATGCTTTCTAGGGTTCATCTGGCTCGGAATTTTCAAACAAAAACAGTGTCGTCATCAGCCCAAGACCCGACAGGCCAGTAGAGGCTGGCATAAAACAAAGCTCCGTCACCTTCAACCATCAAACTGCCCCCACAGTCCCTGAAGCGCATTATTTTGACTTCGCTCAACCCTTCTGCAATGCAAAACCCAGGAATACCTAGTTTCTATTGAGGCATCCTCCTTATCCACAGGGCTTGTATTTGGGTTAACCTAAACTAACTCCTGGGTCCATGCCCGTCGTTGTCGACTCACAAACAGCAACAACATCGACTCACAATACAGCTACATGGTTGATTCACGACCCCTATAGGACTACGTCGTCAACTCACATGCTGCTACATCGTCGACCCCCATACAGCTACATCGTCGACTCAAATGCTGCTATATCGACGACCCCTATAGGACTATGTCGTCGACTCACATGCTGCTACATCGTAGACCCCCATACTGCTACATCGTCGACTCACATGATGCTACATCGACGACCCGTATAGGACTACGTCGTCGACTCACATGCTGCTACATCGTCGACTCACATGCTGCTACATCGACGACCCCAATAGGACTACGTCGTCGACTCACATGCTGCTACATCGTAGACCCCCATACTGCTACATCGTCGACTCACATGATGCTACATCGACGACCCGTATAAGACTACGTCGTCGACTCACATGCTGCTACATCGACGACCCCAATAGGACTACGTCGTCGACTCACATGATGCTACATCGACGACCCGTATAGGACTACGTCGTCGACTCACATGATGCTACATCGACGACCCCAATAGGACTACGTCGTCGACTCACATGCTGCTACATCGTAGACCCCCATACTGCTACATCGTCGACTCACATGATGCTACATCGACGACCCCAATAGGACTACGTCGTCGACTCACATGCTGCTACATCGTAGACCCCCATACAGCTACATCGTCGACTCACATGCTGCTACATCGTAGACCCCAATAGGACTACGTCGTCGACTCACATGCTGCTACATCGTAGACCCCCATACTGCTACATCGTCGACTCACATGCTGCTACATCGACGACCCCTACAGGACTACGTCGTCGACTCACATGCTGCTACATCGACGACCCGTATAGGACTACGTCGTCCACTCACATGCTGCTACATCGTCGACCCCAATACAGCTACATCGTCGACTCACATGCTGCTACATCGTAGACCCCCATACAACTAATCGTCGACTCACATGGTGCTACATCGCCTACCCTGATATAGAGCCACAACGTCATCTCACAACGACATCGCCGACTCACTTTGTATCCCTTGTACGACTTCACTTGACGCTTCTCAACCATGTCGCACTTATTGCCGCAAAGGATGATGGGTATCGGCTCATATCTCCCGCGTCCACTGTGACAGTGCGCAACTTCCTGTAACAGGATTGTAGCACATTATAGATATTTAATATTTCAGTAAAAGAAGGTTACGTTTAACAACGAGTGCATTGTCGTTGCAGGCGTTGCTCGTGATCTCAGTCACTGGCTTTCATGGTCTGTTTTTGATAATATACCAGCCGTGAGTGAGTGAATGAGTTTAGTTTTACGCCGCACTCAGTAATATTCCAGCTATATGACGGCGGTCTGTAAATAATCGAGTCTGGACCACAATCCAGTGAGCAACAGCATGAGCAACGTTCTACGCTATTGGAATATGAGTGAGTGAGTGAGTTTAGTTTTACGCCGCACTCAGCAATATTCCAGCTATATGGCAGCGGTCTGTAAATAATCGAGTCTGGACCAGACAATCCAGTGATCAACAGCATGAGCATCGATCTGCGCAATTGGGAACCGATAACATGTGTCAACCAAGTCAGCGAGCCTGACCACCCGATCCCGTTAGTCGCCTCTTACGACAAGCATGGGTTACTGAAGACCAATTCTAACCCGGATCTTCACGGGTCTGTACCGGAATGAACAGGCTGAAATCTATAGCTCTAGCAGTCTATCTCAGAGTCTATGAACCACATTATTTTTCCGTTTTGGACAGTCCTTTATGCATTGCCATGACTCTAAACGAAGAAAAGCTACATTTCAAGATTGTCTATCTCATTGGGTTACTTTTCAATTTAAATTTAATTGTTTCTGTCAAAATTAAACATACTGAACAGCAAAAGAAACGCAAGTCTAGCTTTTTGTCAATTTTTTCAATAGAAGTTAACCAAAATTATGTCTAATCATGTATTCCATAGAAATCACTGTCAATTTAACAGCTGAAAGTTGCTGTTGACAATGAATTGCAATAGGTTCAAATTGATCACAGTCCGTCAAATGGAGATACCCCTGAACGCGAAAAGTGACAATCTCTTTAGTAGCGCGTATAGCCACCTTGAGCTTGCACACAGGCCGTGCAACGTCACCTCATTGAGTTCACTCGAGTCTGAAAGATTGCCTGAGGCAATTGGTTCCACTCAAACACCAATCTCTGTTCCAACTGTGCAAGTGTGAGTGGCTGTCTCCCTGCAGCAACCCTACGTCCAATGCCGTCCCAGAATGTTCAATGGGAGCCATATCCGGGGGGAAGAGACGGCCATGGAGGAACATTAATGTTGTTCTGAGCCAGATAATCCATCGACACCCGTGTTGTGTGAGGGCTGTAAACGTCGCTGGCGTTGTTGACGTGTCACTATTGCCTCACTATGGCCGTCGGCAGTGGATTCCAGCAGCCCGAAGACGACGCCCAATCGTATCGCTTGGCACTGCTCCCCTTGACCCATGAACTAGGGCTGATGTTACTGTTGCTGCTTGAGTTCGGTTCCTTAGGTGAGTGGCCCGGATGAACCGATCTTGCGCATGAGTTGTCACTCGTGGCCGTCCGGTACAGCCCAATTGTCTAGCTACAGCGGTTGCAGAGCTACCCCCGTGCAACATTCCCAATGGCCATTCCCCTCTGCTTAGTTGTTAGTCTTGGCATCGTTTGTGTGGCATGTACACCTCCTAGCATCAATACAGAGCCGTTTTTTTAGACAAACCTTTATGAAGGATACCTCAGAGTGAAATGCATGCTTTCCATCCAGAACCGTCGATGCACATGTTAAAATTATGGTTTTCCTGCACTGTGGGTGTGTTTGTGCGAATGTTTCGTATGGACGTCAAATTGCATGGCATCATCTCATCTGGGATCATTAAGTCACTTTACCATGAACGTTCCATAAACATGAACGCTTACTTGTATGAGATTTCATTTCTTCAAAACTTGCATTTCTTTTGCAGTTCAGTATATTTTCAGGCACTAAGCGTTAGTCTAAATCTATAGCTGACCCCGGCACTACCAGAAACCTGACTCTTATTTCAATCCTACCCAAAGATCCGACCGATTCACCCCGGCTCTTAAGAACTACACTGTTTGCAGTCAACTCACGTTGTCATCCTCTACTCTCGCGAGATCGGCCTGAGACTATCGGCCATATGTATCGGCCAATTTAATAGTGCTAATAGTGGCCAAGCTCCTCCCTCAGCTATTGATGTCGCTGAACAGAGTGTGGCGTTAAACGATGAGCAGACAATGTTGGACATTAAGAGTGGCCGAGGAAGTCAAGAGCCTGTTTATGGACGTAAGACATCCGATTCCGCCTCTTAAGGTATCCCAGCTAATTCGTACGGTCTCTTGTGTGCGATACTGTTTAGGCCATCAATAGTTTGTGTCTTATTCGCCATACTCAACCAAATATGGACAAAATATAATGATAAAAAATATAATGATAAAAATATAATGATAAAAAATATAATGATAAAAATATAATTATAATGATAAAAATATAATGATAAAAATATAATGAAAAAAAATATATTGATACAAATATAATGATAAAAAATATAATGATAAAAAATTGTAGGACGTTCCTCGCTTCTTGAGTTACCTTTCTGATGTTTTAAGTTTATAAATCTTTGTGGCTATAAATTAAATTATGACGAAAATGGTCTTTTTTCAGTAAACATAGCTGGAGAAAAATCAAGTTGATATTTTTGTACGATAGTGGCATGGTAGCACTTTCTTTTACCTGAGACTGACTGAGTAGAGGAGTGGCCTAGTGGTTAAAGCGTTCGCCCGAAGACACGGGTTCAATTTCCCACATGGGTACAATGTGTGAATGATGTTGCCCGACATTATATTGCTAAAAGCGGCCTAAAAACATACTCACTCACTTTACTGAATAGTGAGTGAGTGAGTTTGGTTTTACGCCGCTTTTAGCAATATTCCAGCAACATCACGGCGGGGGACACCAGAAATGGGCTTCACACATTGTGCCCATGTGGGGATTCGAACCCAGGTCTTCGGCGTGACGAGCCAACGCTTTAACCATTAGGCTACCCAACCGCCCCAAATGCAGATACGAAACCTTTCCACCATTTCACGTCGGAATAAAACTTAAGAATTACAGAAACAAAATACGGAGAGCCTAATAGAAAGTGGTACTTTTCCTTTCGCTCTGGAATTCTTCTTCAGGTTCCACGTTTAACGAAATAAAGTTCGTTTGTGTGTAGATGAATGCAACGTTTGTGATTTAATCCCTCGTCCAAATCCATGACATATTTGATCGCCTCCTTGGTGTAGTGGTTAGAGCGTCTGCCCGGAGAGAGGAAGGTCGCGGGTTCGATCCTCGACCGTGTCAAACAAAAAGACGTTAAAATATGGTACTTGTTGGTCCCTGCCTGACGCTCGGCATTAATGTGTACAACAAGGACTGGTCTGCTCGGAGTCGGAGTATAATGTGTCTGAATGCGGCATGGTACCTCAGTCAGCTAGCACTATAAACCAGCTTAAGTCTGGACTAGTACAAGCAGCCACACATACACACGCATGCATTTCGTCATGTGAGCGAAATATTCTTAAGTGCGACGTTAACCCCAATTTCACCTCACCTAACCTCGTGACATATTTGATAGATTTGTTTATTTAACCGCATTCAGCCACATCCCTGCCATGTGAGGTTGGTCTGTATATAATCGAGTGTGAGTCAGACGATCCAGTGATGAACGCCATGAGCATCGATCTCTTCATATTAGTGAAGGGGCCTAGTGGTTAAAGCATTCGCTCTCCTCGCTGAAGACCCGGGTTCGATACCCCACATGGGTACAATGTGTGAAGCCCAATTTCAGTGATATTGCTGGAATATTTGCTGAAATCGGCGTAAAACTAAAACTCACTCACACCCATAACATTAAACGTCCACTGATTCAACTGGAGGTCAGGTGAGGTGAAATTGGGTTTATCGTCGTGCTTGAGAATATTTCGCTCACATGACGGCGTGCATGCGTGTGTAAGTGTATGTGCGGTTGCTTGTACTAGCCCACACTTAAGCTGGTTTTATAGTGCTAGCCCACTGAGATACCATGCCGCAGTGAAGCATGAATACCCCCCTCAGACACATTATACTGACTCCGAGCCGACCAGTCCTTGTTGTACCCACAACAAGTACCATATTTTAACGTCTTTTGGTATGACGCGGTCGGGGATCGAACCCGCGACCTGCTCTAACCACTACACCACGGAGGCGGTCGATTCCACTGGAGTACTGTTCAATGTATCGTCAACCAATGCTCACTCACTCTGCCAATAAACTGAAATGCCGTGATGTTAATGAGACTGTTCAAAGCGGCTCACTCCATTTCACTCACTATAAAACATAAAACTAGATCACCTTGCAAGACCGAATAATCAGAAACAGCCTAAACTCGTTTTCTCTTTCGACGTAAAAATAGTTATTCTAAATTATTTGTAGCCGTTTCTGTTGCTACCGAAGCAGATGTTTCTTTCGATAAGTTTGCTTCCCAAACTCTTGAAATATTGGTCAAGAGAGTCAAATCCAATTCTCCAGAGAAAATCGGGCAAACTCCCAGATTATGAAACCTGTTCCAATCTGTGAGCATCTGTCAGTACCGCCAGCAAGGTGAAAGGCTCTATCAGAGCACGAACATGATTGGTGAATGTATAACAACAGATGCACGTGCAACCCGTGCAAAATAGAAATCACGACTTGCCACCTGTTCACGGATGGATCGGTCCATTAAGGTTTAGGGTAAGTTGATCACTTCCAATTGTGTCGGGGAACAGTTGTTGGAAGTGCCACTTTTCCCAACTGGCTTTGCTGGGAGATTTCCGGTATTTTCAGCCAAACATCTGATCTCTTTCTTGGTATAATTATCCGGGTTAGAATTGGTCTTCAGCAGTCCATGCTTGTCGTAAGAGGCGACTAACGGGATCAGGTGGTCAGGCTCGCTGGCTTGGTTGACCCATGTCATCGTATCCCAATTGCGTAGAACAATGCTCATTCTGTTGATCACTGGATTGTCTGGTCCAGACTGGATTATTTACAGACCGCCGTCAATATAGCTGGAATATTGCTGAGTGCGGCGTTAAACAACAAGCCAACCAATCTTGCTATAATTCCAGATGCAGAGTTTTGATTTAAGCAGAGGCAAAGTTGCGTCACCAAGACGTACAAGAAAGTTAAAGCTGATTCTTCGATTTCCGGATTTTCCGTGCTTGTGTTTTATGTAAGTTAGCACCGTGCTCGTGGGGTTTACAAAAATGTTAAACATCAAAGACGGGCATCACTTTAGGCTGTGCCAAACATTAAACCAACATGCCATGAAATACATGAAAAATCCTTCAAAACGACAATTAACACCATGTCACTCACATTTGGCAATACTTACATATTGTATACTCGAGATCCAGTACGTGAGATGTGAAAATGATTCGAAATTTGTGACGTCATACACGAGGACAATTCCCTGAAATGAGAAAAGATAACTGAAAGAAAGTTTTTTATCGTAGCCACAAATTGAGAAATATTTCACATGGAATTCCAAGACCATTCCAGGCATGTACATCCATATTTTGTGAACCGTATTTCCTCTGACAAGCCCCCGGGCGCATATTTTTTCAACGGTGCTTATTAGAGGAAAGACAGTATTTCATGTCTCCATTTAGAAGTGGTAATCTATGTCTGTGTATTAATGTGATATATGTGAACATAAGCTGACGTGTAAAGGAAAATACACACTAGGTGTTTGGGGATTATCTAAAATACACACTAGGTGTTTGGGGATTATTTAAAATACACACTAGGTGTTTGGGGATTATCTAAAATACACACTAGGTGTTTGGGGATTATCTAAAATACACACTAGGTGTTTGGGGATTACCTAAAAACACAAACAACGCCAATATTTTGAAAAGCGTTTTGAACCCCCCATGAAGGTAACGGTTAGAATCGGTCTTCAGCAATCCCTCCTTGTCATATTAGACGGATAACGGGATCAGGTGGTAATCCTAGCTGACCTGCTTCATGTATGTCGTATCCCAACAAGATCGGTGTTCATAATGTCAATCCCTGGATTATCTGGATTAATTTGCTAAACAACAAGCAAACTAACAAACAAAATCCTTCAGATACGGTCAGGATCATATTTCATTGGACAGTGGGTACAATGAGTGACGCCCATTTCTGGTGTCCCCCGCCGTGATATTGCTGGAATATTGCTAAAAGCGGCGTAAAACCAAACTCAGTCAGTCAGTCAGTCATTGGACGGAAATTGCCTTTGTTTCTGGAATGGGATAACAAAAATATATTCAAGCGAGCGAGTTGTCATATCTAGGGGTGGGTATTGCAGAGAATTTTCATATTGCGATATATTGCATTGCGAAAGCATATATTGCGATATGTATTGCAATATATTGCAAGAGTTTTTTTAACAGAAAATACTATTAAACGAGATAATGCTTGATATATAAAGCAAAAACGCAACAAACTCACTATGCTTGACTAAGCTTTAATAAAAACCTTTAATCATGACAAAATAATAATGTAAATAATATTTGGCACAAATGAAACAAGGAAATATCCGAAGATTTCCGAAGGCATGTCGAAATATAGGTTTTCGATCAGCGTATGCAATACTTGTCGTTTTCATGTCTGAACCGGTAAATACCGGTAAACGGGTTATATTGCGCAGCCCTAGTCATATCTAAAGGAATATTAATGGAACGACAGCTTAGGACTGACAGCTAATGAGGAATATACACAGTAATATTACATTCGTAACTACTTGTCCCTTTCCGTAACTGAAAGAAGCAGGTAACGGAAAGGGACGAGTAGCTACGAATGAGTGATATTATAGATAGGAACGACAAGGCAATTACGGCCGAGCATAAACATACAATTCCCCACTTCATCAGCGACATGTCAGCGGGCACGATGATCGATGCCCTGCCACGATCCGCTTATATCCTATTCCACTCATTCACTTTCATACTGCCTATTGGGGCGGTGGGGTAGCCAAGTGGTTTAAGATCTCGCTCGTCACGATTAAGGTTCGAGTTCGATTCAAAACATGGATTTGATATGTGAAATTCATTTCTAGCGTTTTTCGTTATTGGTTCTCTTGGTTTTATCAATGATTTTCCCCACAATCTTGTTCATCTCAGAGTGAGTGAGTGAGTGAGTTTAGTTTTACATATACCAGCAATATCACGGCTGGGGCCCAGAAATAGGCTTCACACATTGTACCCATGCGGGGAATCGAACCCGGATCTTCGGCGTGACGAGCGAACGCTTTACCCGGTAGGCTACCCCACCGCCCCGTTTATATCAGAAATGGCATTGTCATTGGAAACATCAATGTCATCATGAGTGAGTATAGTTTTACGCCGCACTAAGCAATATTCCAGCTGTATGGCGGCGGTCTGTAAATAATTGAGTCTGGACCAGACAATCCAGTGATCAACAGCATGAGCATCGGTCTGGGAACCGATGACATGTGGCAATCAAGTCAGCAGGCCTGACCACCCGATCCCGTTAGTCGCCTCTCACGACAAGCGTGGGTTACTGAAGATCAATTCTAACCCGGATCTTCACGGGTTGTGAGCAAGCCATGCATCGTGTATATGACTTTAAGATAAATGGGATAAAACACAACAAGTGAATTAATGGTTTTCTACATGATTAATTATTCATTTACGTTGGAAACCGTTTGTACATTTGAGGAGCGCTTAATACCCGCCTCAGAGATGCTCAGTGGCGTTGCTAGAACAGTGCTCAAAGCGGAGTAAAACCCGAATCACTCACTCACTCAGTGGCGTTAAGCGGGGCTGAGGGCAAATTATACACAAAGCGCTAGAAGGATTGTCTCGCTCAGTACCCCTACAATTAGTTAAAACAACACACAGCATTTACCTGTCTGACATAATGAACTAACCCAAAGGGGAGATTACAAGTGGAGCATACCGTGTGAGATTAAGCTGCACAGAGTATACAGAGGAGAAGGGAATAAGATTGTGCTGTTGTTATTAGGGTTTTAATAATTCATTTTAAATAATTGAAGTGAAGTAAATGCTGAACTAGGTTCCTGGTGTGGATAGTGAGTAGAGAGAATTTGCAAATCGTAATAATATCAGTTGTAATAGTGTTGGAGATAGTGGACTGAGTTAAATACAAAATGTAATTTCAGATGATTTGGGGTGGTATATACCAGGGGCGTTCAAAAAGTAGTCAGCCTAACTATATTCCCCATGTCCAATGACCAGATATTCAAGCTGGCATTGTTTACAATATTGAGATCTGACACTTGTGTGACCATTGCTTTTTATATTTTATGCACTTTAATGTCTAAGTTTGATTCTAGCGGACTTATGCCTATCTAAAACACACAAAGTGTTTCTTTCATATTTTGTTTAATGAAGCTTGTGATGTATTTAGTGCAGATTTCGCAAACTACCAAGATAAAAAGTGAAACAAAACGGGGGATCGAGAGGCTGGAACATGGCAAAACCAATTTGCTTGAGGTTGATAGATAATATGTAGAAAAGTAAAACATAAAAACATGTATTACGTTATGACATTATGATGTTTAATGAAGTTAATTGAACCTCAAGTTCAATATTATTGAACTTTTGTTAAAATATTTTTGTCATAATATGAATATCTTATCCCACCGGGTACCCATTCACTGATGGGTAAATAGATGTAATTTATGAACAAACTCACTTGCCTAAGGGGACGTGTCACGTGTGTTTCATCGTGGGGCAGTACTGACGTTCCAGAAACTCTCAGGAGTCAAGCTGCCAAATACCGTCACCCATCCAAGAACACTGCGTGACCAACGCTGATTAACTTCAACTGATTTATACACTTCCCAGCGCTCAAAGTAGCTACTAACCCGGTAGCCAAATGTTAGCTGATTGTGAATCGGGCCAGTAATAAACTCTGTCAAAAAAAGAAACGCAACCCCTGTCCTCAGATATGAAAAATTCGTTTGAATGAAGTTATTGCTTCCAAACTAAATGTTATTCGAATGTATTGAAATTATACACGTAATTAATGAAGATTACCATCCAAACAACTGCATTTGTACGCATAAGTGTATTTTATTGCTTATTCCGTCACAACGCATGAAATGACCCTCATGGTGACTTCGCACAAAAAAAACACATACAAATCATGAAAATGGCAGTTAATGTAGGGGTGTATAAAAGCCCATGTGCTTTCGTATTATATTCATTCATTTGTCGCCGAAAAGCTGTGTGAAAAATGCCACGATTGAGTGCTGCCGACCGAAATATCGCCATTGGTCGTGTTCAAGCCGGAGAAAGTTTTGGAACTGTTGCACGGCACCTAAATGTTCACAAAACAACGATATCCCGACTTTGGAGCCGCTACAACAACTTCAATTTGACCAACGATCGCCCGAGAAGTGGAAGGCCAAGAATCACGACCCCCCCTTCAAGATCGGTACATCCAGGTCCATCACCTGCGTAATCGGCATGCCCTACCAACCGTGACTGCCACACAAATACCAGGTTTGAGGAGAGTGTCAGCTCAAACGATTAGGAACCGTCTAAAAGAAGCGGGTTTACGTGCCTGTAGACCAGTTGTTGGACCTGTACTACGCCCCCTACATCTCCGCCGACGACTCAGGTGGTGCAACAACGTAAGGATATGGACTTTACAAAACTGGAGGCGCATCTGGTTTTCTGATGAATCCCGTTTTCTTTTGCAACATCACGACGGAAGAAAACGTGTGTATAGGAGACGTCATGAACGTTTTGCGCCCATCTGCGTCCGACAGGGGACAGATTTGGCGGAGAAAGCGTTATGGTTTGGGGATCCATCTCATACAACCAGAAATCAGACTTGGTGATCGTTGAAGGAACCTGACAGCCCAACGTTACATCAACCACGTATTACAGCCTCACCTTCTCCCGATTATTGACCAACAGACACAGATTTTTCAACCAGACAACGCCCGGCCTCATACTGCACGTGCAACAATGAACTTTCTGCAGAATTCCAACGTCAATGTCTTGCCATAGCCCTCTAAATCACCAGACCTCAACCCTATTGAACACCTGTGGGATACTCTGGGTCGACGCGTACGTCAACGTCAGCCGCCGCCACAGACGCTGCAACAGCTCGGCGTTGCACTGCAGGAGGAGTGGAGAGCCATTCCCCAGGAAAGAATCCGGCGTCTTATCCGTTCTTGTCCAAGGAGATGCCGTGCAGTGATTGCAGCTCGTGGTGCTCATACGAGATACTGAGAAAGACGCCCCCCTGGTGACAAACTGGTGTCTGTGAGATGACTTTTGAAATGACAATTTTAAACATGCCCATCTTGGTTATTATTCTGCCAAATTTCAGACTTCTGTCTTAAATAATAACAATGCTGTGTCGTCTTAAAACTTCAGATCAAAATCTCTAAAATACAGGGGTTGCGTTTCTTTTTTGACAGAGTTTATATTGCTAAAGCTATCCCGCCTGGCTAGCTGAAAACCTCAGATAGAAAGGAATCTTTTTGTGTTTGTTTGATATATATTGTTTCCAAGGGGGGACAATAACTTATCATCTTCAATTACCAAACATCACACCAATTCTGACCGATGTGCATTTTGATATTGATATAGATATTTTGCAGGGCCAGTGAAGTATGATGTGGGCTGGCACCATTTTATTTAACTAGCCCTCCTGGCCAGTGCCTTTTCAAAATTAATTCATACACTTGCACTACCACAACCAAAATTAACCAACATTCTTACGCCAGTGTTAGATCGGAGTGTTGAAATAGCGTAGAAATAGTTCATAGTTGTGGGTTTGAATTAGGGAGGTTCTTTATCACTTGTTCTTCTGTAGGGTTAATATTGTTTCACAATTGTGAATAATTTCTAATTCTGGGCAGAAACTGTCACCATCAGAGGACCGAATGACTGTTACATGGTATGAAGTAGATTCTCGTACATCACTAAATACAACTGCTGTGATCACAACACAGCAATTCTGCTACAAATTGAAAGCATTTCAATAATTCAGTCTATCTCCATGTGTTATCAGGTACGATGTAAACAGATCGATAACACACCCTTCATCCCCAGACCAATACACAAAGAGTTTCCGGTGGTCATTCCAGCGTCCAGATCCATCGCCTGACCACTCCAATAAACAACAGCATTTAACCCAGCGGTATTCAGATTTCAATACGCCATGCGTGGTCAAGGCAGTGAGTGACTATTGGTCAATCTGACAAATGCTATGCGATCATACAAGGTCGGTTCCACTCTGTCGCAAAGTGATAACCTGACTGTCTCCTCCACTTACATCGGGCATATTTCCTCCACTTACATTGGGCATATTTCCTCCACTTACATTGGGCATATTTCCTCCACTTACATTGGGTACATTTCCGCATACGCAAACAAGGACCACTTCACATTCCTTCAACATAAATATTCATTTACCAACGATACCTACTCCAAAATGTCAGCTCCATATGTGCGTAATTACAGAACACATTCACCAAATATACTCCTCACAAAATGTTAAGCTACACACATTTTAAGTCTCATTACATTTTCATTTCTTGAAATTGCAAATCATGGAATGATGCAATAGAAAGGTGAAACCTATGTACACACGATTAACAAGATGAAATGAAATGGTATTGAGCAATAATAGACTTATAAATCATCAAAAGCTTGTAGCCGTGAAACAGTCGTGCAACATGTGCTGCATTGATGGAGCAAAATGTTAACATTAAGTTTCAAGTCAGTCTTGGACAGTGAAGCAGTGTTCAGTAACGCGTATGACCACCATGAGCACAAATGCAAGCTTCTACACGTCTTTGCATTGACCAAATGAGCCTTTAAAGTTGCTGTTGTGGAATGTTCTGCAATTCTCTCTGTAACGCCCTCTAGGTCATCTAGAGCCTGGGGGTGAATATGGAAACGGTAAACACGACTTCCAATAATGTCACAAGCATGTTCAATGGGATTAAGTTCAAGTGACCTTGTAGGCCAGTCCATATGTGTGATGTTGTTGATCTAAACAACATCGTTAACAACACTTTCTCAGGCATGATCATCCATGGACGGGCATTATCATCCATAAAAATGAAGTTAGAACCGCTTGTTGTGCCAGAGGAATGATTACAGGTAGGTTTACACCGATCAGGGTGCATGTGTCAAGAGTGGAGCTCATTCATGCCACTCATTTTGCATGTTGTTTCTGATTGTGGTTGTGTTCGGGTAATGATGTCGATGTTATCAGATAAATCAATTTGATAGTCACTAAAGCTTATGTATTCTTTGAATATTTACCTTTCAGTAACATGTAGGCAAAAATCGCTATCGAGATTGATAAAGATATAACACTGAAAATACTTGTTGCTTAATTTTTTGTGAGGAGTATATGCCGACGGGGACACGGGCGGCCCAGTCGTCTTGGGCCATGAAATTTGCCGTGCAGAGTTAGGCATACCAGAATCCTCTGTGTATTGGAATCCAGGTTCGCCTGAGTGAGTGAGTGAGTGAGCATGGTTTTACGCCGTTTTTAGCAATATTCCAGCAATATGACGGCTGGGGACACCTGATGGGCTTCACACATGTTACCCATGTGGGAAATCGAACCGGGTCTTTAGCGCAACGAGCAGAGATTGTGTTTTTAACAGTGAGCCGACACGATGTGCTTTAACTATAATAGTGTTCAACCATTCCCACTGTCTCAACTTCTCGTCAATTGTACGGAATTCCCCAAGCCTAAACTCTACTAATTTATTCGACACGAATGTTTAGCTGAAATATTTTTTTCTGCGGCGATAGATAGCATTCACTCTCTCACTAAAGTCCCATGTCTAAACGAGTGAGTTTATTTGTGCGCCACACTCAGCAATATAACAGCTAAACAGTTTATATTGCGGCCATGTCTAAACGAGTATCTGCTTATAAAGAATTTCTTATGAAGAACAACACCAATGGTGTGAACTCAAATTGTGGGGTGTGCTCACACTATCGACCACCTGTTTTCCTGGTTCATTATCAGCAATGTTTTACCTACCTGTACTCCCCGATACTGGTACTTGGTGATAGACCGGAATCGCTCCTGTCCGGCAGTGTCCCTGTGTCACGAGGATGGTAAATATGTAAAAATCACGATTCGGGACATAAGAGTGAGTGAGTTAGTGAATTTAGTTTTACGCCGCACTCAGCAATATTCAAGCTATATGGTGGCGGTCTGTAAATAATCGAGTCTGGACCAGACCATCCAGTGATCAACAGCATGAACATCGATCTACGCAATTGGGAACCGATGACATGTGTCAACCAAGTCAGCGAGCCTGACCACCCGATCCCGTTAGTCGCCTCTTACGACAAGCATAGTCGCCTTTTGTGGCAAGCATGGGTTGCTGAAGACCTATTCTACCCCGGATCTTCACGGGGCTCAGGACATAAGATATCAGTGCATACATTTTGTTGTGACACGGTAATATATATATAAGGAAACGGCATGATGAATATCTTTTAACACTATGGTATTTCGGTGTTTATTACCCACGAGGTCAACGTATGGGTAGTTGCATACTAATCTCGTACGTCACACGAGTGTCGTATCGCGTTGACCTGTGTCGCAACGACTTGACCTGAGATTCTAACGATTTGATTGGATAACCGATGACCTGTCAATTAGTTCTCATTCTGACGTAACTATTTGTTCATTCATAACAAACACGTGAATTCATTCATTCTACAACTTAAATGCATTGTGGGAATGTAAACATTGCCACCGTTGCAATTGCCGTGTCGCTGTTTAATTGTGAGTCGAACTGAGACATTATATCCGTCGAAAAAATAAACGCAATGTTTCCCCCTGTGATGTTAGCCGAATGAAGCAACTGGAAACCAAGAAACAAGGTGCTACGGAGTAGTTTACTGTAGAAGGTTGTACGAGGCGATGACAACTGACATGCATCGTGACGTCGGTTACCATGGCAGTGACGTCATTACAGTGTGACGTCATGCAAATATTGTACTACAGTACAAAACTCTTCCGCAACCTCTTTATGAAACCGGTTTCGGTTTAGACCAAAAACATAACAAAAATGCGCTATTTTGCCAATTTAATGCATGTAAGACGTTGGTAATAAATAAAATACCACACTCGGTCTCATTACATACGAATACTACACCTGGAGAATACTACACGAGGTCTCATTACATACGAATTATACGAAACGAGTGTCCTTCCTATGGTATCTGACCGAGCGAAGTATTCTCCAGGCACCACATGCTTGCTGTAAAAGCCGCTTAGCGCTGATTGTATGATCAGACTCGCTGACGTAACTGACTGTCATCGTATCCAGATACGCTCTCATTATGAGTGAGTGAGTTTAGTTTTACGCCGCACACAGCAATATTCCAGCTATATGGCGGCGGTCTGTAAATAATCGAGTCTGGACCAAACAATCCAGTGATCAACAACATGATCATCGATCTGTGCAATTGGGAACCGATGACAAGTCAGCGGGCCTGACCGTCCGATCCCGTTAGTCGCCCCTTACGACAAGCATGGGTTACAAAAGGCCCATATTCCAACCCGGATCTTCACGGGTCTCTCTCATTATGAGGTGATGTGATATGGGGTTTAACGTCGTACTTAAGAGTATTTCGCTCACATGACGACGTGCATGCGTGTGTATGTGTGGCTGCTTGTACTAGCCCAGATTTAAGCTGGTTTTATAGTGCTAGCCCACTGAGATACCATGCCGCAGTGAAGCATGGATACCCCACTCAGATACATTATACTGACTCCGAGCCGACCAGTCCTTGTTGTACCCATTAATACTGAGCGCTGGACCAACAGAGGCCAACAAGTACCATATTTTAACGTCTTTTGGTATGACGCGGTCGGGGATCGAACCCGCGGCCTTCCACTCTTCGGACGGACGCTCTTACCACTACACCACGGAGGTGGTCGCTCTCATTATGATCCTTGGTCGCTTGGGGCCATTGCTAGCGGACACTGCTCAAAGCGGTGGTAAACTCAACTCACTCACTCACTCACTCATCATATCAGTACTCACCATATCACGAGTTGAATAAGTGCTCCATCAACTTCGAATATTTTCTTCACAAAGTCCACACCTGAAAGAGAAATAATTCAACACTGTTACAGTGACGTTTATAATTTTGATATCAAATTATTGTTATTGATATGTTTTTTTATTGATGTTGTTGGTTTTTTAGTTTTGTTTTTTGGGGGGTGATATGGGTGGGTGTGTTTTGTTATTTTGTTGGTTTAGTTTTTTTTAATTTGTATTTTTGTTTTGTTTTGTTGTTTTGTTTGCTTGATTTTTTGTTGTCTCGTGTGATTTTATTTGTTGTTGTTGTTCTCTTTTGTTCTTTCTTTATTTCCGTTTTTTTGTTTTGTTATATTTTTATCTAGTTGTTTTCCTGTTTTCGGTGTATAGTTTTAGGTTTTAGTTAGGGTTTCGACATTGTTCTGTCACTGAACAGCTGTACAGTTGTGTCATTGCGAAGTTAAATCTTCATCATTCGCTAAGTTCTATACTCACATTAATTATTATACATGATAGAATCTTGCTATCGCCAAAAGACAAATAACTGCCATTGGGTATAAAGGTAGGTTCTGTTCGTCCCGGCAAACGCTGGCACTAACCAGCTTATACTGCCTTAAACGAGTTGTTTATAATGGCGAAAAACTGAATATGCATGCGAGAATATATTGTGGATATCGATCGTATTGTAAGGGTAAAGCCCGAGGTCCTCCATTAACTGCCCGACTAAGGCTTTCGACTGGCAGATAATCTGGGTCAAACAAGTCAAAGCAACCCAAATTCCCGCTTTAAATAGCGGTAATATTGGCTTTCTTGTTGGTGCTAACCTTAACAATTGCACTATTAAGACTGTTGATGGACCAAAACCGAACACTGTCATAGTTTGACATGTTGCAGGCTATGGTCTTGTCAATGGCCAAGGTCGAATATCGTCGCTTTCTGTTGTGACGTCACTTGAATTGTTCGATAACGTAATTGCATTCGGGCAGTCAACCCCGTCAGAAGTTGATTTGGGTAAACTTACAGTCAAATTCCTTCATTGTTTCCTTTTTCTTTTCAACACAAATTCCATGTACTTTAGCAATAACGGTAATGCTATTTTTTGAGGGCATTATCATTTGCAGAAGCCCTCGGTCTTTATCAACTGCCCTCCTTCGTCGGGCAGTTAATGGAAGACCTCGGGCTTCTGCAAATGATAATGCCCTCAAAAATAGCATTACCCTTATAATACCATTACTACAACACTCTCGGCCTATGCGCCTGCGTAGATTCGTTTCGGAAGTGACGTCACCTCTCTCGACTCTCAAACCGAGCTGTTGTTTTGTTTGTTGTTTTACGCCGCAGTTAGCAATTTTCCAGTTATACGACGACCGTCTGTGAAAAATCTGGATCAGACAATCCAGTGATCAACATCATGAGCATCGATCAACGAAATTGAGATACGATGACATGACATTAACCAAGTCTGCGAGTTTGGCCACCTATCACAAAATTCTCTCGCACAAGCGAATGAGTATGGTTTTATGCCATTTTGAATAATTTTCCAGCAGTATCGCTGTGGTTGAAACAAGCAATAGGCTTCACACGTTGTACCGATAGGGTGAGCAGAACCCGGGTTTACAGGGTGCCAAACGCTTCACCGTTTGTATGCCCACTTTCGCGTATTTTAATCGGACGTTTATTTTTATCGCATGATTATTCGAGTCTGTATTAGTCCACGGTGTTTATGGCAACAAAATGGAGACTTGTGTTATAAATATACGTTCATGGCAAACACGGAAATCTAGACATACATTGTATAAATGCCATTCCGACTTCGGAAACAGATGCCACTTTTTAACAAACCATATCCGCTTTCAGGCTTTCAGACCTCGTTAAGCTTATCGGGTTATGGCCTATAGTTATCTGAGGCCGCAGGTGTGCGGGTTTCACCAAAGCTTGGAATAGGCAAAGTGGAAATGGGATCGTGCATTACATTTAGATGAGACCTCTGTATGTTTCTAATTCCAGAAGAAATTGGAGTAGAGTTTTAGTCCGACCGAATTAGTAAGACACGGTTACATTTCCCTGTAGGACCATTTCAGACCCCGTTATATATCGGCAATATCGTTCAGACGTGGGTAGACCACCAATAAACAAAACTACAATACCGCAAGACGCAGTGAGCTTGGTCACCCAAACCTCAGGCCCCAAGACGCAGAGAGCTTGGACGTCAAAAGTCAGGCCCCAAGCCGCAGTGAGCTTGGATGCCAAAAGTCAGATCCCAAGACGCAGAGAGCTTGGACGCCAAAAGTCAGGCCCCAAGCCGCAGTGAGCTTGGATGCCAAAAGTCAGGCCGCAAGACGCAGTGAGCTTGGATGCCAAAAGTCAGATTCCAAGACGCAGTGAGCTTGGACGCCAAAAGTCAGGGCCCGTTTAGTCTGGACGCCGTGAGTCAGGTCCCCGATAGTCTGGATACCGTGAGTCAGGTCCCCGTTAGTCTGGATACCGTGAGTCAGGTCCCCGTTAGTCTGGACGGCGTGAGTCAGGTCCCCGTTAGTCTGGACGCCGTGAGTCAGGTCCCCGTTAGTCTGGATGCCGTGAGTCAGGTCCCCGTTAGTCTGGATACCGTGAGTCAGGTCCCCGTTAGTCTGGATACCGTGAGTCAGGTCCCCGATAGTCTGGATACCGTGAGTCAGGTCCCCGTTAGTCTGGACGGCGTGAGTCAGGTCTCCGTTAGTCTGGACGCCGTGAGTCAGGTCTCCGTTAGTCTGGACGCCGTGAGTCAGGTCCCCGTTAGTCTGGATGCCGTGAGTCAGGTCCCCGTTAGTCTGGATACCGTGAGTCAGGTCCCCGTTAGTCTGGATACCGTGAGTCAGGTCCCCGTTAGTCTGGATACCGTGAGTCAGGTCCCCGATAGTCTGGACGGCGTGAGTCAGGTCTCCGTTAGTCTGGACGCCGTGAGTCAGGTCTCCGTTAGTCTGGACGCCGTGAGTCAGGTCCCCGTTAGTCTGGATGCCGTGAGTCAGGTCCCCGTTAGTCTGGATACCGTGAGTCAGGTACCCGATAGTCTGGATACCGTGAGTCAGGGTCCCCGTTAGTCTGGATACCGTGAGTCAGGTCCCCGTTAGTCTGGTCGTCGTGAGTCAGGTCCCCGTTAGTCTGGACGGCGTGAGTCAGGTCTCCGTTAGTCTGGACGGCGTGAGTCAGGTCCCCGTTAGTCTGGATACCGTGAGTCAGGTCCCCGTTAGTCTGGATACCGTGAGTCAGGTCCCCGTTAGTCTGGATACCGTGAGTCAGGTCCCCGATAGTCTGGATACCGTGAGTCAGGTCCCCGTTAGTCTGGATACCGTGAGTCAGGTCCCCGTTAGTCTGGTCGTCGTGAGTCAGGTCCCCGTTAGTCTGGACGGCGTGAGTCAGGTCTCCGTTAGTCTGGACGGCGTGAGTCAGGTCCCCGTTAGTCTGGACGGCGTGAGTCAGGTCCCCGTTAGTCTGGATACCGTGAGTCAGGTCCCCGATAGTCTGGATACCGTGAGTCAGGTCCCCGTTAGTCTGGATACCGTGAGTCAGGTCCCCGTTAGTCTGGACGGCGTGAGTCAGGTCTCCGTTAGTCTGGATGCCGTGAGTCAGGTCTCCGTTAGTCTGGACGCCGTGAGTCAGGTCCCCGTTAGTCTGGATGCCGTGAGTCAGGTCCCCGTTAGTCTGGATACCGTGAGTCAGGTCCCCGATAGTCTGGATACCGTGAGTCAGGTCCCCGTTAGTCTGGATACCGTGAGTCAGGTCCCCGTTAGTCTGGTCGTCGTGAGTCAGGTCCCCGTTAGTCTGGACGGCGTGAGTCAGGTCTCCGTTAGTCTGGACGGCGTGAGTCAGGTCCCCGTTAGTCTGGATACCGTGAGTCAGGTCCCCGTTAGTCTGGATACCGTGAGTCAGGTCCCCGTTAGTCTGGATACCGTGAGTCAGGTCCCCGATAGTCTGGATACCGTGAGTCAGGTCCCCGTTAGTCTGGATACCGTGAGTCAGGTCCCCGTTAGTCTGGTCGTCGTGAGTCAGGTCCCCGTTAGTCTGGACGGCGTGAGTCAGGTCTCCGTTAGTCTGGACGGTGAGTCAGGTCCCCGTTAGTCTGGACGGCGTGAGTCAGGTCCCCGTTAGTCTGGATACCGTGAGTCAGGTCCCCGTTAGTCTGGATACCGTGAATCAGGTCCCCGATAGTCTGGATACCGTGAGTCAGGTCCCCGTTAGTCTGGATACCGTGAGTCAGGTCCCCGTTAGTCTGGACGGCGTGAGTCAGGTCTCCGTTAGTCTGGACGCCGTGAGTCAGGTCCCCGATAGTCTGGATACCGTGAGTCAGGTCCCCGTTAGTCTGGATACCGTGAGTCAGGTCCCCGTTAGTCTAGATGCCATGAGTGAGGTCCCCGTTAGTCTGGATACCATGAGTCAGGTCCCCGTTAGTCTGGATACCGTGAGTCAGGTCCCCGTTAGTCTAGATGCCGTGAGTCAGGTCCCCGTTAGTCTGGATACCGTGAGTCAGGTCCCCGTTAGTCTGGATACCGTGAATCAGGTCCCCGATAGTCTGGTCGTCGTGAGTCAGGTCCCCGTTAGTCTGGACGGCGTGAGTCAGGTCTCCGTTAGTCTGGACGGCGTGAGTCAGGTCCCCGTTAGTCTGGACGGCGTGAGTCAGGTCCCCGTTAGTCTGGATACCGTGAGTCAGGTCCCCGATAGTCTGGATACCGTGAGTCAGGTCCCCGATAGTCTGGATACCGTGAGTAAGGTCCCCGTTAGTCTGGACGGCGTGAGTCAGGTCTCCGTTAGTCTGGACGCCGTGAGTCAGGTCTCCGTTAGTCTGGACGCCGTGAGTCAGGTCCCCGTTAGTCTGGATGCCGTGAGTCAGGTCCCCGTTAGTCTGGATACCGTGAGTCAGGTCCCCGATAGTCTGGATACCGTGAGTCAGGTCCCCGTTAGTCTGGATACCGTGAGTCAGGTCCCCGTTAGTCTGGTCGTCGTGAGTCAGGTCCCCGTTAGTCTGGACGGCGTGAGTCAGGTCTCCGTTAGTCTGGACGGCGTGAGTCAGGTCCCCGTTAGTCTGGATAC